GCAAACACTGTGATGGCATCTGGAATAGGATGAGGTTGAAAAGATGATTGCCAAGTGAAAGGTAAAGTTTTGAGAAGTTGCAAGATGTCATTAATTTGTTCCACTGTGGCAAGTGCTCCAGATGGAACTACAATGAAAATTTTCAGGTCGTTTTCCTTTGGTCACTAAATTAAATAATGGACTGAGTAAGTGTGTAGGCAAAAAAGATGCCTAACAATTGCTATAAATTGAACGACACTGATTAAAAACTCCTTTTTTACATTTTGGGTAAATTGTCTTTGGTTTGGTTGACTGAATAAACTGCCCTTAATAGGCCCCTCCCCCAGGGGGGGGCGGCATTGTGATTAAAAATGGCCGGGTTTACCACAGTTGAAACAATTTCCGGCCGGGTGGGGCATTGCTGGAGAGGAAGAGAAGCAGGAAACGGGTTGTTGTTTTGCAAAGCTTCCATTTTGTGGCTAGTTGTGCCAAAGAATAGTTTTCTCTCCTTGATTGGAAACTTTTACTATTACTCTTCAATTACTTGTACAATAACAAAATCTATCATTCATTATTTCTTTCACAGCCTGGGAGAAAATGGGTGGGGGGTAGGGTTTGAGGGCTAACACACACATTGAAATATCAGCAAATGAACTCATTCACTTCCATTCTAACTGTTTTCATAAATAATTCCACATACAAATATTTCATTTCATACGTTTTCCAGGCAAAACCATGCATTCTTAAACCAGGCCTTTTAACATTATTGTTATCAGAGAGGGTTTTGACCCTCTTTTGGTCTTAAAAATAACACAGAACAATACAGACAAGCATAAATACAGAAATACTGTTAAAACAACATTTATTGAAACGTATAACTTGTCCTGCAAAAAGCGAGAAAAATCAAGAGCTGATTTCAACCAAACATGGTTTTATAGGGCCCTTTCATCTCCTATTTTTCTCACCATTCCAAGTCCAAGCATAATATTCTGGGTGGCCACACATATACACAAAACACACATATATATATGAACAAAATACAATACATATTAACACACAGCACCATCAGACATTGTCTGACAGGGTTAAACTTAACAGATTACAGAAAAGTTTCAAAACATTCCTATTTGTTCAAAATGCATTGCAAAGGAGTACATTTTGAGTTAATTTATGTCTTTACATTACTCTGAAAATTCCCCTTATTGTTATTTCTACTTCAAAATAGTTTCTCTAATATTTTCTGTGTGGGGGTGTATAGAATTTTGTCCATGGAATTAATTTAAAATTCCCCTTTTCTGGGTACGATGGATAGTGTTTCAGTTGAAGAGGCAATGTTGGAGTATTTTGCCTCAGAACATTTTTTCTGCATAAAGGCATCCTCATATGGAGGTGGAGATGCAGTGTTGAGTGCCATGGCATCGCTCGAATCTTTAATAACTTTTTCATAAATTTCCAAACTGTCAACAATTACTTGACAAGTAATAATCCAAATGAATTTCAGCAATTTGATTAAATCATTCCCTGAAATTGAAATTAAAGGTTTGCCATGGTTTATGCAAATAATTTTTGCAGCCTTGACAAGGTCTCCAAGTTCTTGGAGGTGCTTAACCTGGCCCTTGGACAACCCTTTCCCCATACTCACTAAGTCTGATGACTGCGGAGTGCCTCACTGGCAAGAGTACGGGGGCGTCGAGGCGAACAACCAGGACCAGGGATCACGTCGGGGTCACCAGTTGTGGCTTTTCTCGTGGCCAACGGGCTCACCACGAGAGGGTCCGGGCATCCCCGCGCCGGACGGAGTGAGAACAAAGACACAGAGTCAAATTCTCCTCGGGGTGAGTGAGCCCCGAGCTAGCTCGAGACAAACCTTTTATTGAGGTTTGTTAGGGGTGGGTTTCAAAAGTATCAGAAGGCAAGCATATGATCCTGATTT